GTAATCGAAAACAATTAATAATTTCAAAGTTAAGAACCTAAAAGCATTTAAAGCAATTATTCCTTTTTGTTCATACATACAACATATTTTATTGTAAAGATTTAATAAATCATACTAACAGTTTTTTTATTAAAGAATAATGAAATTTCTCTCCCTCTCACGTATTCCTTCGCTCCGAAAATATATATCTCGTTAATCTTTCTTTAACTCTTTCTCTCTCTCTCTCTCTAAAAAAACACACACAAGCACAAGCACACACATATGTATTCCTCTTTACACCATCTCTCTCTTTTTATTTACGTTCTTAATGCTTTGGCGTTGTAATTTATTTAAAATATGCATTTCCTTAATCATGTATTCCTTTTTTATATCATCTCTCTCCTTCTAACTTTCTTATTTTTTGGTTTTCTAATTTATTTAAAAATTATCTTTCCTTAATATGTATTCATCTCTCTCTTTTTTTTTCTAATTTACTTTCCTATTTTCTTGGCTTTCTAATTAATTTTAAAGTTTAGAGTACTGTAAGACTCATAAAAAAGGTTTGGAGTATTGTAATAATGCTTGGTTTTGTCTGAACTTCTTCAATAACTTGAATATGTATCCTACAATCTCTCTAAGAATGGAAATCATTTTTATTTTTACGACATGTGTCCATCCTAAGTTGTAGATTGTAGTATACATAGAAAAAGGAATATAAATGTAAAAATCTACACAAAATTATTTAAAAAATCCTACATGCAATTTTTTTGTTATAAGATTGAAGAACTAAGGTAATTCTTATATTTGACCATGCCTTTGGAATGACGAGGGAAAAGAAAGTCGGGCTTCTTATGACTATAGTTTTTGTACAACTTTGAAAGACTGAAATAAGGCAGTTTATTTCATACCTTCATGACTTTTGATGGAGAGCATGACTTTAACTTTTCCTCCCCTATAATAAATATGCAGAAGTACAATTTTGCTTCCAACATTTATTCTACATTAGATATAGAGACTTTCTGATTTACAATAAAGACCCAAAGACAGATGGAATAATATGTGTCGGATATGGGAGGAGATTGAAAAGGTGAACTCATCTATTTATTTTCTTATCAACCTTATAATATGGTTTTGCAAATCCTCTATCTCGTATGAACACTATGATATTAGTTTTCTAAAAATCCTTGTTTTCACTTATATGATTTTGAAGATTGTTCGGCTTGATAATGAAATTAGTAGCATAAATAAAATTTAATTTTTAATTAAGATTGAAATGCCATGAATAGATATTGTATTGTATGCTATAAATATCATTCATATATGTGTACTCATATATGTGCAAATGCACACATATACGTTTGAGTCCATTTGTATATATATCTATGTATATATGTATGTGCATTATATGTATATATACACACTGTATATATATACACATAATAGGTACGTATATAAAATTTAAAAATATCTAAAAAGGAAACACTAAAAAACTAAATAACTTACCAAGTAACAATCTACTCATGATAGTTGTATGTGCATTTTACATTTATGCTTGTTAAGTATCGTATTCTTCCTTTCTAAAATTTTATAAATGAGTTGCTTGATTTCAACCTTAACAAAAAACAATGACTTATCAGGTCCGTCTCATTATTTGCTTTAATCACATATTTCCATCAATTGATGAAGTTGTTCTGGATAAGAATAAATTTGCACGACGTATTTAATATACTTATTCAATCTAATAGAATAATTTTGTCATATCTATAACAATAGATATCCAATCTATTAATATACTTATTCGGGTCGATCTGGCCTCATTGCCTTCCTTAACTGTGCATAAGATATAGGAGGGTATATTTGTATTTGATAAAAATAAAAAAATAGCTTGAGCAAAGAAATTGAATTTACTATTGTGTTCTCTCGGCCCATCTGAGTGTCGAGTAGTCGGGCTGAGTACTTGGGCTCAACCCCATGGCGAGCTCCTCGATATATTTAACCTGATAATAGTCAACCTATGTTGTATGCCACGAATTTAAGCCACACAAATCGTGTGAACTATTTATTGATTTTATGAATGTAAAATTTATAACATGAGTGCATAATTTTTTTAAATCAAATATGTTGTTTTATTTTAAATTTTTGAAATATTTAATCAAAGTGAGAATGTAATTTTTAATACCAAATTATAAATTTTAATTTATTTTGGCTTTTAAGTAAAATTTTGAATTTCAAAAGTATAATAGATATAATGACATGTCTTAATTTTATTGCATAAAATTTGTAATTGCACATTATATTAATGATTTTAATTATTATATAAAAAGTAATGATGAATGAATTTGATAATAATAATAAAATGCCAAATTAAATAAAATACTATAGAAAAATTGTTTCATGGGGGCTGGACCACATTTCTACAATATGTGATCTCAAGGTATAAAACATCCATCCTAAAGATAGATACAAATAGGTGGTCCATATAAAAATCATTGACACTAACTGTCCAAATGTTTCCTTAATAGAATTATTATTTCTAATTTTTAAAATTTATTTATTTTTCATATTCATTATCTCTATGTTAGAGATTACATATCCTTAAAAATTAAATCCAAAACTTTATCTCGAACATAGATTTTTAGAAGGTGACTCATTTCTACATCGATTCATGAAAGCCATATCCAATACCATATATTTGTATATTATTAAAGATAAGGGCAAGCTTTCTATGCTTTCCCTACGCATAAAACTTAAATACTTCCCCTTATCCAACCGTCCATTCTGAATAAAGGGCTAAGATTGCCCCAATCACAATGTCATGTCTATACACTATTTTATTTTTACTTTTTTGTCTATAAACTATTTTGATACCAAATTTTGGACGTCCAATCCTCTATTAAACTCGCACTAGAGAGAAATATAAAAAAAATATTTCCAATAAAATAGATGACCAAAATACCTCTAAAAGCTTCAAAGAGTATTTTGGTCATTATATTTTATCGAAAAATTATTTTTAATATTTTTTACAGGTGTTCCCCAATGAGAAGATGATAAGCACAAAATTTCATATTCATACAATTTGTATAAAAAAAACTAAAAATAAAATACTTTGATACGTCAGATCTAAGATCAAACGGTGAGTACCTCTCTTGATCAAAATTGGACGGCTGAATGGTAGGAGGAGGATAGTTCTTCTATACTATAGGGGAAGTATAGAAGCCTTTCCCTTTATTATATAATGAAAAAGAGAAACAGAGGGGCATCAACTTCCCATATATTAGAGGGTTTATTTGAATTAAAATTATAAGGATGGGATATATGTGTTTTGGAAAAGGTTAAAAGTATGGTTTAGGCCTATGGAAAAAATAGAGGTTAAAAACGATGAATCTATGAGTTAGATCACCCATTCAGAAAACCAGTTTGGTTCGACAGATTGGCAATCTAGATTGGCTATTCGGCCAAGAGAACCGGCCAATAAAAAAATTTAAAAAAATTTGAGAACAAAAAATTGAAAAACAAATAGCAAAATGAAGGGAACTGACGCTTCTTGATATTTAGGCAAAATAGGGGTGGCTCCTCCGATTCTCGGTACAAATTGGCTTGGTTCCAATTCCTATTGCTATTTTTAGAAAACTTGAAAAAAAAAAAAACCTTACCTCAAAACTCCCAAATAAAAAATTGTAGTTCTAGTGTTGAAAGACTTTCTAATCAATCATCTCCACCTTCATCATTATGCTTATGAAAAATACTAATATTCCAAGACTAAAAAATTATCTCAACTTTGACCATTATACTTGTGAATGTGAAAAATACGAAGGTTATAAAAATTAAAAATTGTGTACATCAACTCGACTGTTTATTTCCTAATGATTATGGATTTGCAAGATCTATACTGTTTTTTGAGCAACAAACTTCATAATCAAGCCCATTCCCAAAGTAGTTTTTTGACAAGCTTTACTTTTTTCCTGCAAGGCTGAGGCCCAATAGAAGCCGTGCAACTGGATGAAGTTTCTAGATGGCCTAAGTTTTATAAATAAATAAATAAATAAAACTTCACTTCAAATCTTGGTTAGGGAATACTTTTGGCAACGAAAATCTCCACGATTGCTCTAAAATCAATTTGCAATACCGACCGCAATTTTGAAATTAAAAAAAGTATAGATCTTGTAGATCTTTGAAAACTTATTTTTGGATAAAATAGAAGGTTTAGATAATTAATTAAAATATATATTTTTTTAAAGCTTAAAATACTTTTATTATTTTATTATTTATTTTATATTTTCAAACGATCAATATAAAAGTTTTGCAATAAAATTACAAATTTTTAACAACTCTTTCATCGCAGTCCTGTCAAACCATTTTTCCATGTTTTCTTTCCCCAAAAGAATGGCGCATCAGTGACTAGATTCCTTACTGGAACCGATCGCGCAACTAACATCTAATCTCTATCGTTCATTGCGTATCGAACGATCACAGCCTGACGAGGCAGCCCCATTACACGACATCGGATTGGTTCAACTACCTATTCAGTTGCCCTTTTCTGATCCACCGGCAAGGAACCCGTCCGTCCGAATCCACCAGCTCAAAAAATATGGGGCATCAGTGACTAGATTCTTTACTCGAACCCCCCACCAGCTCAAAATAAGTGACTGGATTCTTTACTCGAACCCCCCACCAGCTCAAGAGAATGGCGCATCAGTGACTAGATTCTTTACTCGAACCCCTCGCACAACTAACATCTAATCTGTACCGTTCATTGTGTATCGAACGATCCACAAACGACCGATGATGAGGCTCCCATTACGCTAATCTCTACCGTTCGTTGTGTATCGAACGATCCACAAACGACCGATGATGAGGCAGCTCCCATTACGCTAATCTCTACCGTTCATTGTGTATCGAACGATCCACAAACGACCGATGACGAGGCAGCCTCATTACGCGACATTGGATTGGTTCAACTGCCTATCTCAGATACCCTTCTTCTATCCACCGGCACGCCCATCGACCCGAATCCACCACCGTTTAAGCCTGCAACCAGAATCGCATCCACGATATAAATACCGCCTGGACAGCTGGACCTAACCCTTGGCTTTCATTCTTTATTTTCTGCTCACCTCCTTTTAAGAGAGGGCTTTGCTTTGTGCGCACCTCTTTTTAAGAGAGGCTCTTTCTAAGAGAGGGCGAGAGAAGTGTTGAAGCTACGATACTGGACGTATCGGCGGGTAAGTTCGATTTTCCGACGATGCCCGCTGCTTTTCCAGCGGGTTGTAAAAGCTCGGGGCTTCGGATCTTCAATTTTCTGGCCAATATTCAGTCCGTCTAGGCCTTTCTTTGCCAAATCCAGAACGGCTAATATTTCTTGCCTACCCTGACTCCTTTTCTCTCGATTTAGCCCTTTCTCAGGGCTCCATCAGGGCAGACTCGATCTCTGTGTTTTGGGCTATTTAAAGGAACAGTCGGGGATCGGATTATTTTGCGATGTGATTGAGGGCGATTTAGGGCTTTTTGCTTCCCGATCCAGTATTTTCCGGCCAGAATTCTGACGATATAGGGTTTTATATAAGCTGGAACCATGTTTCTGCTTGACTGGTTTTATGGTGTTCTTGCTTCCTTAGGGTTGTGGCAGAAAGAGGCCAAGATCCTTTTTCTGGGTCTTGACAACGCTGGAAAGACTACTCTCCTTCATATGTTGAAGGATGAGGTAATATTTCTTCCTATGTTTTTATTTTTGATGTATCTATCTTATTGCAATATCAGTATGATTCTGGATTGCATGTTCTTTTGTTCCTACTGGGTAGGAATGATTATTGACTGGTTTAGAATTTGGAATTTCTTCTCATCTTATCCTGGCTATTTTTTTCTGCCCGATAAACTTGTCTAATTAGTGCCTTTTTAATGCGTTTTGTGCTCTTTTATTACTTGATTTGTCTGAAATATTGTTAACTTGCACACAGAATCGTAGTTTATGATGAATCTCATACTTCAGTTATGTTTGTATTGCTCATTGATTTATGGGTCATTTGTCTGTGATTCTCTTATTTATGCCCTTGAAAATTGGAGTCTTGCTTCATATTATTTCCTGATTCATGCATCTGACTCAGGGTTTATGTTTTTGGATGGCCAGATATTTCTGATGACACCCATTCACAATAATTGTGTTCACTCATTCTTATATTATTTGTCCCGGGATGACATTTTTTATGTCTGAGTCGTGCAATTTTTTGTTCTTATTTGATTAGTAATTGTTTTCTTGGTTTCTTTCTCGTACAAATAGAGCGTGATTTGTCTGATGGATAGTCCATTTCTTTTGTTAATGTGGGTCTAATCTGGATCCTTGGGTACTTCTCTTGCATGACCTGCA